GCTTTCGAAAGCTTATGCTCTAATAAATTTGTTAGTCTCTAAGGTGCCACAAGTACTCCTGTTCTTCTTTTTGAGTGGACACTAGTCACGTATGTGTGTTGGCTTTTTTTCCCCTTCCTCCACCTCCTCCCCCCACCTTCTGTTGATTCTTAAAGTCAAGAGACCTGTCTGCTCCAGCCTACTGTATAAACCCTTTCCTGCTGCCAACCAAACAGTAGATGTTTAAGGCAGCGGGAGGAGTTTTATAGGCACTCGGTTACTGCATGTGGACTCAGATCAAAACATTGTGCCGGTGTATCTATCTGTGGTACTTAGGTTCCCATTCCTGGTGCACAAACCTGCATCCCTTACTCATGCAAGGAGTTCCATGTGCATCAGTGGGTTTACTTGCATGAGTAAGGGCTGTGTATGAGAGGAAAAATGGCCAAGATGACTGCTCAGTAAATGGAACATCCGGCTGCACCACGGACGTCCATAGAGGCTCGGGAAGAACAGGAGCTGGACATAAAGCAATGCCCCGTTCAGATGAACAAGGGAAGTGCATACCTCTTAGTGCTGTGTCTGAGTTTGTCTAGAGGCTCAATGAGACAGCAGTAGATTGGCCTCCTTCACAGCTAGCAGCACCACTTCGTATTGAATAGAAGCTTAGATCTTGAAGAATCCAACAGCAAAGCCCTAAACCCAGACCCATTGACCCTCCCTCAGCACAGATTTGAATTGCTGCTCCCTCTATGGATAACTTAAATCTGCCGAAGCATAAAATGTAGTGAAAAGAATCTGCTCCTGAGACACACGTATCAATCCAGTTAACAGGACATGTGGATCTGCATCTGAGCCGCAAAAATGGTCTGCAGATATCCGCGGATTTGCAGGGCTCTAGATACAAAATTTGTATCCGCATCCGATCCGCACAAATGGTCCACGGATATAAAGCGGATAGCCACAGACTTGCAGGGCTCTAGCCGTGCACCAAGGAGGGAATGGATGCTCCTGCATCTTCTGAATGCTTAGATGACCACCAGCTGAGATCCTGTTGCGTTCAAAAGTCTTTGGCAACCTCCTCAGCAGCCCAGTGTCATAGGAAGCTTGTGAAGAGCTTTCCACTAGTACAGCCTGTAGACCGTGTGTTGGGACGGAGATTACAGAGCAAACTTGTCGTGCATGTGCTACAGCGGAGCCTCTGGAGGCTGCTTCCTCTCCCCTCCCCCCAACAATCTCACTGCATGCAACCATGCCGGAGGCAGGAGCTGTCTACAGAGCAGCTCTCCGAGGAACCAGATATCTATGTCTATGCTACTTTGCATGTGGACCCTGAGATTGCAGTTAGACACTGAACAGTCCCGGGAGCTGACCTGGCATTGAAGGAAGCAGCTAAAGAGTAGAGGGGTGTTTTCACCTTGATATTTGGGGCATGGCATTATATGCACATATGAAAAGCCTCATTCATATAAAACTTCGCTATCAGGGGTGTCCTAAAAATCCCGCCAACTTTCATGCAGCTAGAGCCCTGATGCAGCAGTGCCTGCTTCCCTTCCCCCCCACCCCCGAATTGGTGACTAAAAACACCTTGCTTCAATTTCCATTCCCCTGCATCTCTCTTATATCACACCCACCTGCAACCCAGATAATAGAAGAGGGGATGCCTGTTACCACTGGTAATAAACCTAAAATAGTTATGTTCTGTCTGCTTTGAATATTAAATTACAGAACAGCCAATTGGAACCATCCTGAAAGCCTTTGATTAGAATCCCAGACTCCAAATGCTTAGACTTGAACTCTCCCTAGAGTTTTTTGTTCTGGGTCAGATCCAAAACATATAGAGGGTCAGTATTTTCAGTCCTGATACAGTTAAAATTGCAGCAGGTGCATCTTCTGAAATTTTACCTTAATATGGTGGAAATGTAATAAGATCAGCTGATCTTAAGGTAAAAATGTTATGGGAGCAATTCCTGAGATTTTAGCATCATCTAATCCAGACCTGAATGCTAGCCCCATATCAGTCTCGAACCTAAACCCCAGGCTGATAATGAGTAAGATCTAACCACCACCCGTCATCTTCTCAAAGCCTATTTAGTGGGTCGCCTTAAAGTGTCTGAACTTCGGTTTCCCTTTCAGTAAAAAAGAGGTGATGATATTTAACATCCTTTGTAAAATACTTTGAGATCTTTGGATGAGAAGTGCTATATAAGAGCTAAGTATCATAATTAACATTCTACTAGTTGGAAAGATTTACCAGCGCCAGAAATTTCTTGTCTTTAAGATAAGGAACTCCACTGGAAATGATAGAATTTTTTCAAAACCTTGGAAAACTTTTTAAATGTGGCTCACTGTACAGAAAGCAAATGAATACAATGTCTGAATACGTATATAACTCCTCTTTCGAGGTTCTTAGTAGAAATTAAATGTTCTGTAAGCTGTTATCCAATTTTAAAATCTGTAATCTGTAATATATGAAAAAAACAAAAATGCCTTTGATTAGCACTTCAGTGCTCAGGGCTGCAGGCACTGGAGTTAAGTGGATGTTTTAAACTATCCTGATCACACCTGCATAAGGTTTCTTTTATATAGACAAATAACAGTGGCAATAACAGGGGTGTATGATCAGCAGAGCAGGTATAAAAATCCACTTCCAATTAATTTATTTGTTTCCATGTTCCAACCAAAGAAATGGACTGAGACTTTTCTAGCAGCGTGACATTTTCTGTCTGTCATTGTCACAAAGCTGGAATTGGAATTTTATGTCTGCCTGGAATGATTTCTGCTGCTTCCTAATGTTAAATGGCAAATGTTTATCAGTGGTATGTACTAAGATAGAACCTTTATTATGAGGTACCCAGTATGTTTGTAGGGTGCTTTAAAAGAACTGGAACAGGATACTAATTTCCCTTCCTTTATTTTTAATTGTCATCATTAATATATGGCTGGTAAAATTGCTGGTACTGCTTCTTTTCCCTGACTGATCCCTTCCCTGGCTCCTGAAGAAGCAAAATTGTTATTGAAGTGAGATGTGCAGCCTGTTCAGACATGTGCCATACAGTGGTTGCCATTAAAATGATATTTGCCTATGGAGTAGAATCGAAGAGGATGTATTTCCTGCATCTCTGTGCATAAAATAGGAAATACCTGCAGAAATGCTGTTACCATGGTGTGGTAGCTGTAGACAAGTATTTCCTTCATAACACCAGCCACTGTGTTTGCAATCTAGCCTTCATACACTAGTGTTGGGTTGGTATTGTAGGGCTGCCTTCCCTAGGAAAGGGAGCTTATCAAGTGGTAGGAAAGAAGTTAAATATCTGTCTACTGCATTGGTAAATGTACCGTATCATCAAGGTAAGGTCAAGACTTGTACATGGTGGTAATCCATTAACCGAATAATTGACTAACATTCTCACCAGCACTTGTTGACCATTAATCATTTTGTATTTTAAAAGTCATGTGATGTGTGTGCACAGCTGTGGTGTGGTAGACTCAGAGCCAATTGTGAATCTGTGGTTTGGGCTGCAGGGAGCTTTTCTTTTGAGGGGCCTGATCACAAACCTTTCCTGATGTCTTAATGGAGTGAACTCCACAAATTGTTTTCCCTTCTCATCCCAGCCCCTCCCTTTAAGAAACAAACAAAAACAAAAGGTTACTAGCCTGTTAGATAGGATGCTCCTCAGATATGTGTGATCCTACGGGTACCACAGAATTCCCCCCTCTTGCTCTCATGGGCACACACTGGGCATAACTGAGTTGAGCTGTATTTCTGATGGGTACTAGTTATTGAGCTAAAGAGTCTTTTGGGTCAGAGGGGGCCAGCTACTTCCACCCCTACTCATCCATCATAGCACAGTTGGGCCCATTATCCCTTTCTAAATCAGTATCTCCTCTAGCCTTGAATGTCTCCCATTGTTGACAATCCATCACCTACCCTTGGCCATTTTGTTCCACTTCCTAAAGTATAACTCCATTTTCACTACTGCTGTTCTAAGCCCATTGCATCTTATGTCCTTTTGGTTGTAAGTTAAAAACTACAGTTGTCTTGACGGAGAGACCTTTAAGTATCTGTAGACAGTGGTCATGTCTCTTCTCAGTTGCCTTCTCTCTAACCTTTCCCTAGTTCTCTTAAACTTTCCTCTTAGGTTGCCTTTTCTGATTGTTTGTAGTTTTTGTCACTGTCCTCTGAGCTCTCCAGTTTCATTTTGTTTTTTAAAGCACAATACCCATTTTAGGCCTAAAAGTTACCAAATAGAGCAGAATAATCACTTTACCCTTATTACAGGCCTAGACAACACTGTCACTCCAACTTATTTTCATGCTAATACCCACATCCTCTTGTGTGGTACTACCGCCTGGCCAGTACAGTAAATGCCTCCATTTGTGTGTTGGATTACTATGTCCTACATGAAGCACTCTGTCTTTCGTTATTTTAATATCTCATTTGATTTTAGCCGTTTCCTTCCAAGATTCTGCTCTTTTAATTCCATCCACCAAATTGTTTGTGAGCTCCAATTAATCTACAAAATTGAGTAGTGTACTCCTCTACTGCATCAAAAACCTATTGAGGACTGGGTCAAATCCTACAATCCTTATGCAGGCAAAATTCCCAATGAGCAGACCCAGAACACACACTAGTAGAATACAACTCAATATCTCTTCCTAAACTAACCCTAAATTGTTAATCTTGTTTCTGAGCTGCACTTTTGTTTTAGCCAGTTTTGTACCTTTTCATATAGTGATTCCGTGTAAGTCTCATGTCTCTGGTCTCCTTATTGAAATGGTACATGGAACCATGTCAGATGCCCAAGTACAGATGAGATATCGGATACTCTGTCCACATAATTTCCTTTAACAACTTTTTCCTTTGTTAACCATATCAAAGAAAGAAATTAAGGGCCAAATTCTGCCCCTAATTTACACTTATACGGCCAATAGACCACAGTAAGGTCTTGCATTGGGATAACTGAGGTGCTCATCCAGCAGTGCACTTAAACATGTGAGTATGCAATGGTGCTAAAGTTACACATTTTCTTAAGTGCTTTGCCGGATCAAGGCCTGAATGCCAAATCTGGCCTTAATTTGGTTTGGCATGGATTGTATTTCATAACTAACATTGCTTAAAATTCATCACCGGATTTCCCTCTAGATGCTTTGAGATGGAGCACTTTATTAATTGAACATAAATCCTTCTGAGCTCAGTGTTGGCAAACCCTTGTGCGGTAACTGGTCCCATAACACTGATATTTCAGAAGGGAAGTTTTATGGTTCTATTGTGGGAGCCCAGAAAGGGGTCATTCAGCTTGATGTGGGACATTGGTGCGGCCACATGAGTCTGAGTAGAACCAGCTTTATTGGGACGATGGTCTGATGACCTACTACAGTCCTGCAAGATGGTCGTGAAAACCAACTAACTGGACATGCAATCTGCCTGTTTGCCCTTTGCCATGATAACTGAAGGTCGTTCACCCACCCCTCAAAAGTAATTACGTGGCTGGGGCAAGCTAATTTATAGGCCGGTGCGAAGGGCACTGTCATGCCGTAGAATTAGCGTTTGGCACTGCATCAAATTCAAGCTCATTGTGCCCATCTTCAGGGCCTTGTATTATACACTCCTCCCACAATTGCCTGCTCTCCTCTCTCTTCTCCCCCCAGAAATTCCTTTCTCCTTACTGTCCTTCTCTGTCTTCCTCCCACTCTCAGCTTTGCACCTTCTCCCATTTCCTGCCTATCAAACATGTTCTCTTTTTCAGATCCCTCCTTTAAAAACCTCCTCACCTCTCCAAAGAGCTGTCCACCTTGTCATGTCTTTCCTGTCTTAGATTGGCTCTTCCAGGCAGAGAACGTGCCTTCCTCTCTTAGTAAAGTACCATGTGCATTCGTGATGCTACAGATACATTCTACCCCTGTTGCTATATCGCTTCTCTCAACTCAGGCAGCTCTGTGTGCTGTTTGGTAGAAACAACATGGAGGAGGAGATTTTAAAAGTGGTCTGTTTTTTCTTTTCTGCTGATTTCAGCCCGAGGGGTTATGGAAACGACCCCCAGCTTCATGTATCCCTACGGGACCTCAAGCAACCAGATAGTGCTGAGAGGGGTGGACCTCTTACTCGAGTGCATTGCTTCAGGAGTGTACGTACCACTTGCCGCGGGGAGGGAGGGGGAATGGTTTCTGGCATCTCCTTATCTGCTCTGCTCTGAGTAGTAAGCAAATTGTACAGTCCCTGATGCTCCACCCTTGAAATCACTGGGAATTTTGCTATTAACTTCGGTGGAAGTTGGATCGAGTCCACAGTGCCTTGCTCCCCAGTGGAAGGGCAGGTAACTGCAAATGTACTATGGGCAAGGGGTGGAAAGATGCATCACAAAAGTGGAAGCTGGTGACGCTGTGTTACTATTTTCTCTGGGTTGGATCAGTTTCCTTTTGTTTGTCCACGTTGAGGATGTAGTGGCACATGATATAGCGTCCTAGGGAAACAGGCCCCACTGCAGTCCTTGTGAGCGCCCAACTGGCCAGCTCTGGCTACAGGAGTGTGCACCAGCTAAAACTATGCAGAAAAGATTGAGTAGCATCCATGAGTCCGAAATTCACTCCTAGTGGTGTTAGTGAAGGTCAGGATCCTTGATCAAGATCCTGGTGTAAGTCAGGAAGGAAGGAGAGTGAGTCATCTGTGGAAACCATTGGGAGGATGAAGTCTAAGGGGACTGCTTTAAGTGGTTCTGAATTTGGAGTAATCTGTTTGTTTCCTGTACAGTACATGGCTTCATGAGCCTTCCCCTCAGATATGACCCCAATCTGTCCTCCCCTCCTTAGACCAGCACCAGATATCATGTGGCACAAGAAAGGCGGAGAGCTCCCAACAGACAAAACCAAGTTGGAAAATTTTAACAAGGCCCTTCGCATCACCAACGTCTCTGAGGAAGACTCTGGGGAATACTTCTGCTTAGCGTCCAACAAAATGGGCAGCATCCGCCACACTATCTCAGTGAGAGTGAAGGGTACGTCATTTTATCCTACCATTTGAATTACTTGAGCCATTAGAATTCCAGAGCCATACGGAGGGTGAGAGGGGGCTGCTCGTGTTTGCTCAGGCCTATGCTAATAGGATGAGCTGTGCTTTGCAGAACTAAGCTGGATGTTTGCCTATACCCACGCACATTTGCAGCTTGACCAGCCCTGATCTCCTGATCCAGGTCCTCAGTTGGTGTAAATCAGCATAGCTCGTGGATTTTTTTTTTTAAATAGAGCTACATTAATTTACATCACGTAGTAGAAAAAATTCTATCGCTGCTTTTTTAGCTCATGTAGGAGTGCATGGCCATCCCTCCCCATCAATCTCAGAGGGAGGCCATGCCCCCTCGCGCTCAGGTCTCTCCCTAGGCCAAGATTGTTGGGAGATTGGCAGTCTCTGAGGCCCTGGCACACTAGGCAGGGCCAAGTGGCAGGTAATCCAGTGTTCTGACTGCAGACAGGGCAGAGCAACCAAGAGTTTATAGGCTCAAGCCATTCGGCAGGGCAGAGCCCCCCAACAGTCTAGGGGCTCAGGGCAGTCTGACATCCTTGTTCTGGCAGACAGCAGACAAATGTAGGCCTCTAGGCCTACGGTGGGGAGGCTGCCACTCCAGGGTTAGGATTGGCTAGGAATGTTAGGCAAAGATCAACTGTAAAGATTTTACTCTTCAATACTCAGCATAGCCAATGCCTATCTGTTTTCTAGTGGCTAAAATATAGGACTTGACTTACAGCGACATCACTTCCGCATTGGTGAAGGGTCCATTTCCCACAAGTGGCGTCTGGTGGGGAACTTTTTCAATGGGGTCAGCTTCAACAACTAATTAATGGAGAGGAATTCAGCGGAGGTAACCGCAATGCATGTATAACTTGTCTGTACACATATTCCTGTCATTAAAGCGGCCCCTTACTGGTTGGACGAACCACAGAACCTTATTTTGGCCCCCGCTGAGGATGGTAGACTCGTGTGTCGAGCCAACGGGAACCCGAAGCCTACAATCCAGTGGCTGGTGAATGGAGAGCCCATAGAATGTAAGCAAGCTCATGGCTTTGGGACTCCCTAGCAGGGATTGAATTGTGTTCATCATAGAATCACGCACCAAAACATGAGGAATTTCATATAGATTGCTTCTCTTTTCAGGGTGGAAAAATAATAAGCATGAGCCATGCTAAGGGTGTTTTCAAGATCGTAGTTATTTGAGATGTCCCAAGCACACATGCCTTCCTCATGGTGTCTTCCATCATCCTTTCCATGAGTGGAAGATCTAGTTATGGCAGTGTTACAACTGGGACACAAAAAATAAAAGTTTTTGGTGTATTTAAAAATCACCAGTAGCAATGGTGAGAGCCAAGAAGAGTGCAGGCAGGTGTCCATCAAGCTGGTAGCTCTCCCGTTACCCTTCAGTCCCATCGAGGTACACTCCCCTCCATTTATGAGGAGATGGAATACTAAAATGAGGACTAGAATGAAATTCACATTGGACTGGACAAACCAAGACTAACAAGGATAAATCCAATATTTGTGTTGAACAGAGAAGTCTTAATTTAAAATTAGATGTGTGTATAGGTGTGAGAGTTCAGGCAACTAAATGACTGGATATCTGTGTGTGTTATGTAATGTCTAGCTCTTGGTATTTTAGGATTAGTTCCTAAAACAATGGATTTTTTTTTTAATTTCCCTCACTAAAAGTAATTTGTCATGGAATCATTGAAGAATCTTATCAATGTCTAGCTTAATGTAACATTTGCTTCTGCATCAGAATCCTTCTGTAATGCTCATTGGCTTTAGATGCATGGTTATGAATTTTGGAGCAATCGCATTTCAACAAGACCCTTCTAAAAAGAAACCGAAAATGGCCCTGGAACTAATCCTGCTAAACTCTTTTGGTCACTTCAGATAAAGTAGAGAGAAAGGTCATCTAACTGTTAATTCTTCAAGGAGTGTCCCTATGGGTGCTCCACTTTAGGTGTCTTGGGGTCCTGCGCTTGTAATCGGAAATTTGTAGGAGCAGTGCCCGGTTGGGCCGCATGTGCGCCGTAGCCATCTCACGCCGCTCCGAGCGGTTACATAGCGGTGCACAGCCAACCGTCCCCCAGTTCCTTCTCTACCCCAGAGAATCGGTGTGAAACTCTGAAGTAGAGGGGAGGAGGGAGGATAGTGGAGCACCCAGAGGGACAAGCATCTCGAAGAACCTCAGTTACTGCACAAGGTGAGTAACATTCTTATCTTTCAGGTAAATAAGGTCTAGGTCACATAAAAGACCCTAATCCATGGCCCATATGATTACCATAAATAATAATTTTCATTCTCCCACCATCACTAATCACTCACTACAGAGTGGATGGCAGAGAGGAGCAGGTTGAGACTGAAATTGACTCTCTAAATCCTCCTCAGTGCTGAACTCAACATTTTCCAGGCATTACCACCCTGCTTTGTGCTCCAGTTAGAGTGTGTGTGCCATAAGGGCCAGTGTCTGAACACAAGCACTATTGGCAGCATGCCAGGCCAGACACCTGGCATAGCCCCTACTGATCTTGGTCTGTAGATAAGCAGAGGACTTCACAGACTCCCATGCTGGCACTCTGAAAAGCTTTACTCCATCCTCAGCTTGCTCTCTTGGATATGTTCAGTAGGATGACCCATTGTAAGCGGGGTGAGGGTTTTGGATGTCTCGGGGAGGGGGGTTAATGGGATTTGGAGCCTTTCACCCAAGTAAAGTTTAATAGCAAACCGAAGAGCTCTCTCTTCCTCCTTCTGTTTGTTCTGAAGCTGCTCCTCCCAACCCAAGTCGGGAAGTGGCCGGAGACACCATTGTATTTCGGGATACCCAGATTGGCAGCAGTGCCGTGTACCAATGTAACGCTTCCAACGAACATGGCTACCTTCTGGCTAATGCCTTCGTCAGTGTTCTGGGTAACTATCTAATGCTACAGATGGTCTGCTGATATCTGTGTTATGGAGGTGGATTGGGAAGGTCTTTACTGTGAACACAGGAGTTCCTTAACTGCCCAGCCTAGAAGTGTCCATAAGAAAACAGTAATCTCTGAATTCATGAGTGAAATCACCATCTCCCATAGAACAATGTTCCCCAAATCTCTGGCTAATTTAAGTCATGATAGCTAGCAACTGTAGTGGCTTAAGACTGTTAAGGATGCTGGTGTTGGCAGGAAGGCCAAGCATCAGGGCTCGTGTTGATAGGAAGGCCAGAAATAGAAGGTAGTAAGAGACAGAGAGAACAGTGGGAGGGTAAAAGTGAAGGGAGGGGATAGAAGGAAATACGGGAGCTTTGCAAAGCCTTGAAGAAGGAACTTGAATTTGAGGTGCAAGAAAAAGAGGGAGTCCCATGACTAGAGAGGAGAGGTGGGGAGATGGTGCGGTTCCAGCACACAGGATTTTAAAAAAACACTATGTTCTTTGTTGTTTAAGATGTGCCTCCCCGGATTCTTGCCCCACGGAACCAGCTGATCAAAGTGATTCAGTACAACAGGACCCGCCTTGACTGCCCGTTCTTTGGCTCCCCGATCCCCACTTTGCGCTGGTAAGGATTCCAACACTCAGAACTGCTGATTGCAATGGACTTTGAAATGAGCCACTTCCTGCTGCTGCTTCCTCTTACAATAGTTTCTTGTATTGTTGTGAGGTTTAAGAATGGTCAGGGAAGCGCCCTGGATGGAGAGAACTACCAGAGGCATGAAAATGGGAGCTTGGAAATAAACATGGCTCGGAAGGAGGACCAGGGAATCTACACCTGCGTCGCCACCAACATTCTGGGTAAAGCAGAGAACCAGGTTCGTTTGGAGATCAAAGGTAAGACTCAGTGCTGTCAAAGCATTGCACGTACAGGGCCTTCTCCTCACAAGCACCCATAATTTTACATGTGCAATAGTTTACACCCACAAGTCGGGTAGTTAGCTGGCTAAATCCAGTGCTGTGCAGCACAAGTCACTGTGCATCAGCACAAACTTATCAGCTGAGTACAGGCCCCTTTTGAAAACACGTGACCAATGAGTGGCTTGGGTGCATAAAAGTGGGTGAAATTATTACTGTGCAGATAATGGAGTGTAGATCTCAGTGCCTTGACTCAGTGGTCGGTGTAATGGGTTTGGGCCCTTTGGGGTGTTACCTGATCTGCCGGGATGCCACTGAGTCAGCCTCTTCTGCCAGCCTGGGTCCCCTTTACCTGCCCTTGGTGGGCTAAACTCACAAGCCTCTGCACATAGGCAGGCCACACCCAGGTGCACAGAGAGAGACAGATCCGCTCTGGAAAGATTCAGCCTTAAGGGCTTGCCCCAACACTCTGGTGCTCACTCTTTTTAAGAGGTACAAACCCAAAGGTTTTATGAAATTTGCCGCCTCTCTCAATGTGGAAGAGGATATGCACAACTTCTTGCCCCCACTCCCCCCCTTTAGAAATTACATAAACATGGTTATATTATAAACAAGAAAGAAGTTTACTAACCACAAAAAGATTAATTTAAAGTGAATAAAAGAGATGACCGAACAAAGCAGATTACTGACCAAATAAAACAAAGTACACAAGCTAAGCTCAATATACTTAAGAAACAGGTTACAAAATGTAATTCCTCACCCTAGATATTGTCTTAGGTAGTTTCCTTCACAGACCAGATACCTTTCCAGCCTGGGTCAAGCAGTTCTTCTCTCCCGACTCCCCAGTTCCAGTCCTTTTGTTTCCAGGTGTTTTCAAGTATCTCTTTGCACAGGGAGGTGGAGCAGAAAAGAACTGAAGACTTTGATTGTTTTCCTCCTACACCTTATATAGGATTTCCATAAGGCAGGAATCCTTTGTTTGATTCCCCCACCTTCCAGTGGGAAAATTCAGCAGTCCAAGATGAAGTTTAGTATCAGGTGACCAGGTCACCTGACTCTGTAGCATCACAGTGTCCATGAGTCACTGGCAGAATGGAGCGTCCTGCAGGAAAGACAAGCCTTTTCACAGTCCATTGTCCTCACTGTTGGGCCATCAGCCCTGTCTGGCTTTTCCATTGTTGTACCTGAAGTGTTAGCAGTGGGTGTCACCCAAAGTAGCATAGTTGAAATATAGATACATAGTCAATATTCCTAACTTCAGATACAGAAACGATACAGACATACAAATTGGATAATCACATTTAGTAAATTATAACCTTTCCAATGATATCTTACAAGACCCATCTTGCATAAAGATTCATATTCATATCATGAGCATATTTTCATAAAGAACATGGAATGCAGCGTCACAGTCGGCAGTCAGATACTGTTTGAAATATAAACTGTTTGGCTAAAGGACAGTTGTCTCCCACGGGGTTCAAGATCATAACCTGTTGCATTAAGACATAAAAATATTTGTACCTGAATAGTTACTGGCATTTGCACATCCTGCTTTTCAAGGAGGCCCGTGTACACAACCTTTCCAGATCGGGCTGTGCTGGAAACAGCAGTCTGTGATAACAGAGCTGTTACACACCAGGGCACTATATTGGGCACCTGGACAATTTGGGCTGTATTTAGTTTTGTGGTCAGTTGGGGAAAATGCGTGTTTTTAAGACAAAGGAAGTGGGAACGGAGACAGTAAAACACTTCTTGCTCCCTGCAGTGCTACTATATAGATATTACATATATACACACACTACAATAGAGATCTAAAGTAATCTTGGCTTTTTCATTCAAGCGCTCTAAACACTGGCTTAAATAACTCACTCACTCTTTTCTTCACAGATGTGCATTTCTTACTAAAAATATGACTTTTCTGTAAAACGACATAAACCAAACTCTGCTCTACCTTACAGCCATGTAATCCCCATTGAGTCCAGTGAAGTCATACAAGTATAACTGGGAGCCCAACACATTTAGTTTCCATTAAATGCAAGACTGATTTTCAAAGAAGCCTAAAAGAATTCAGTGGTGACTGGTGCCTAACTCCCTTGGCCTTCATTGAAAATCACATCATAAAGGATTTATTTTTCCTTTACCAATTTTTTTGTTACACACTTCCATAGTCACTGGCAAAGCAGCAGATCTTAGCAGCTGGAGTATGGTGTAGTTTAATATCACAGAATTATGTGGTTGGATACTTGAAGATCTGAATGATGGTCTGAGGACTTTATTTTGTTTTTTTAAACATGAACCGCCTAGAGCATGAGATAAATATCAGGCACATTGAAACATATAAAAGGGGTGCAGCAGTAGTGGCAAGGTCACAGTTCAAGCAGCAATAAAATGTTTGAGTAAAGCGAACAGTTTCTGTTGGGGCTTCGCTTTCCTAGTAAAATGCCCTTTGACTCAAAAATACTGTTTTAGATAATGTCCGTGTGTATTAAAGGTAGGATGCGTTGCTGAGTGTAAGATAGGTGGAGTAATACTAAATTACCCAGCTTATAAGCAGGTACTCGTATGTATCGGAGACAACTGAGTGTGGCCAGCTGGATGGCTTGTGGCATTTGACACATGTCCACCTATGCCTGACTTTTACAAGTCACACTATGTCTCCCCTTTTCCAATCTTTGGTTTGGGTACCGAGCTATAGACCCTACTGTTATATGCCTACAAGTGACATCGTGTGATTCTTTGCAGACCCAACTAGGATCGTGAGAGGGCCAGAAGATCTGATTGTAAAGAGGGGCTCCCTGGTTCGATTAGACTGCCGTATAAAACATGACTCTACGCTGAAACTCACAGTCACCTGGCTGAAAGATGATACGCCTCTATACATTGGAAACAGGTCTGTGCACTGCCATATGACTTCTCCTGTCATTCCAGTCTCTGGGAGATTCCAGGATGATTAGTACTGGGACTGATTACTGCTAGCTCATTATTTATTTGCCAAGCTCCAGCAGTGATCTCTGTAGTTACATGTGCCTTCTGTCTCCCAAGATAGCACTACTCTTCGCTCTGTCTTTATAGGATGCTCGTTTCAAGAGCCAGTGCATATAAACAATTTGTCTGGTTTCACAGAGACAGCATTTCCCCCATTCAACCAGGAGAGGGAGAGTATGCATAGAATAACCAGTGTCCCTATGATTCAACACTGAGTGGTACTACACTTTTGTGGTGTTAGTTACTTCAAATGGAAAGTGACTAGCTAGTTACACAAGACTCTTTGATCTCAGGTTTCAATATAAAAAAGATGGAAATCAGTGGGGTTTTTTTTTTAAAGAATTGCAATAAAGCATCTTGGTTTAATAACTACAGATTATTTCAGAATTAATATTTGTCTGCTTTGACCTACTGTGCCAGTACAATTGCAATTCCCCTTTCCCAATCTCTGTCTCCCATCTGGAGAAAAGGAAATGAGCTTTTGATCTTGGGACTCAGACTGTTCCCTGGTCACAACTTTGTTCCCAGAGAAGAATCTGATTTCATCTCCTGGCCTGCTATGATTATTTCATCTACTTAGTATGTGTAGCTACACACCACTGTAGAGACGCTGATGCCGTGGGAATAAGTTCAGTATGAATACCCGGTTAGATCAATTATGCATCTGCCCTGGACAAAATATACAAAAAACAACAAACAGAATGAAAAGTACATCCCTGCCCTGAAAAATGTAAAACATGAGTCAAACTCAGCTAGACTTACTCATGCAAGTAGTCCTATGGAATCCAATGGAACTATTCACATAGGTTAGGACGAAATCCTTCAACACTATATGCTTTTGTTATCAATTGTATCCTTTCCAGGATGAAGAAGGAAGATGACGGTTTGATAATCTATGGCGTGGCTGAAAAAGATCAAGGAGATTATACGTGTGTAGCCACTACTGAACTGGACAAAGACTCTGCCAAAGCATTCCTCACCGTGCTAGGTAACCATTCTTCCACCTGAATTTACTACTAACCCGGAGATTGGAGCCTCGTTGAAAACAAAGTAGTACAACTAAAGGCATTGGTTTGTTAGTACAGACTCTGATTTTTAGTGTCATGTTCTCACAGCCAAACTTGGGTAATGCATAATCAGACACCGCGAAATTTAAAAAATGTTTAACATTTAACGTAATCTAATAGGTTTGTAGGTCAAACCTATTAGATTACCTTATTGTCATAGCTGTTGGTGGTTTTACGTAGGTTTGCTGTGAGCTTCTTAAGCAAAGTAGCGTAATAAAAATGGTTCGTTTCTCCACCAGTGTCTTAATGGGGCTCAGTGAATACGTGCAGCCTCATTTCAAACCTGCTCTAATGTTGCAATTGAACCTTCCAGTTCAGCAGATACTGAAAATAAAGGAGTAGCGAGGAAAAGACAGAATACATAAGGAGAATAAGCCAAGTTGAAATTGTCATGGAAAAAGTTACCCACGCATTGATTTTAGTTCACAGACTCAAGCCTGAGGCCAGTTTATTGCAATACATACCAACACGTTGGGGTAGCAGTCCAAAAACTACCACACCTAGCACGGCACGCAGGCTGCTTTTATTCCTTCAAACCGCAAGCATAGTACAAATAATACGCCATTTGCGAGTAATAAGAGTTGGGGTCTGTCCCCTTTTCCCGATACCTTCCTAATCATTTCACGAGAATTGGGTGCGTATTGGGTGGGGCGTTTCTGGGTGGTACTTGGCACCAATTGGGATGTTTTTCTCGTCAAGGTACATATTATTTTCCGGGGTTTTACGGCTAAGGGCATAGGGGTTTATCACAGGATGCCCAAAGAAGATATATGATTGGCTAGTTTGGCAGTTAGCTGGAACTACAGGAGAAGCTGGCCTTTACTAGAAGCAATTTCTTCATGTAAGCGGTTATTATATTTCATAAACAAGCGGTTATTATGTTGCTGAGGCCTTCTGCATTGCTCCCGCTCCCTCCCCCTCCTCCTCCCTCCTCTGATCATAACCCTTGACCGAATTTGGCAGGGAATTGTACAGCTTAGTCTTGTTCAGGCCCTGGCCTGTACTGCCTTTTATAAGGGCAGTCAGTATATCGAGCCTCTGTCAGAGGGCCTGATTTTGGGCCTTCGGTGTTACTTTGGCTGTCATAAAGAAGGCCACCCAGTTCTTTTTCCCCACAAAATTAAATACAGAAAGACTGAGCTGAAAGGAGATGAGGGGGAAAGAAAGCAATTCTTATATGGAGCCAACAATGTTCAAACATTGGCCGCCTACGGTTAGGCACCCAAATAAGAGGTCTGCCATTCCAATTGAAGTCAACAGAAATTCAGGCTGCTCATGACCTTTGAAAATCAGGCCCCTTATTTAGATGCTAAGCTATAGTGGGAGAGAGAGGAAACATGTCCTGTCCCTACAGGCTTTGATCCAGGTGGAAGTGGTAATGAATCTCTCCCTTTTTGGCAGGGGGAGGAATGGATTTAAACTACAGGGGAAATGGGTTTTATAGACTGGAACTGGGTTTGTGGCCGTTAAACCTACTCTCAAACTTTAAACTCCATGTGGAGGCTCATCTACCTTTAGTTCTCAACTACCAGAAACCTCTTGAAGAGTCTGTGTCTGTTTAAATCAATGTTGAATGTATTGCTGGCTCAGGCCTCACAATGCCCTACTACACTCAGTATGCCGTAAGAATCCTGCATCCCTAATTGCTCAGCTAAATTTGATTTTTCCATTTTTTAACACAATTGTGTTTAAGCTAATTAACTCATGTGTTTCTCCCATGCGCAGCCAGCACAAAATGGATTAGAGATTATGGGAGCCCTTTGGGGTCTCTAGGGGAGCAGGCTATAAATACCGATGCTCACTAGGTCCCACACTGGAAGGGAAATCCTGGTGGAATTGGCCTCTGTAACTTGTTTTTACTACATGCCCCTTTGATAAGCCAAGTTTAATCACTAAACTAACTCCATTAACAGCCACTCTCTTACCTTGCAGCTGTCGTGTCTGCTCCAACTAATCGTATGACAGCCTTACCCAAAGGTAATCACCACTAATCAGTTTGGTTTATTGAAACCCTTTTATTTGTATATGCTTTTTGTTTTGTTTGGCCTTTGCAATAACTCCAATGGGAAATATAGGGGTTGAAAAGCCAGAGTCTGATGCTCCAAAGCCTGCTATGGTAAGTTATTTCTAAGAGTTGTCACAACTAACCATGAGCAGAAAGCTGCTGTGATATGTTTGTAATGGTTGTCTGGCTGTCAAGGTGCAGTATGGTATAGCACAAGAATATCACTCACTACGGGCAAGGTGGCAATGGCAGAGTGAGTAAGACCCTGAAGGGGGAGGTAGGAAACCTGGTTCTGCCGCTGATCTTCTGGGATGTTGGCCAAGTCACTGCCTCACTCTGCCTTGGTTTCCCTATCAGTAAAATGAAAACAGTTAGTTGCTTGCATGGCTTCTCTTAATTAATGGCTCTCTCTAAAGGGAAGGTGACCCAAGAGTGTAGGGTCTTATGACATGACCTTGTTCTACAACAAAAAACATGGTTTGTTTTCCTTGTCTTTTTGTTAATCCACCATCCGTACAGTATATAACCCAGCATGTTTTTCCTTAGGTTTGATGCCTTTGTTCTATTTGCACACACCTCTTTCTACATTTGAATGTAGTGGTTGGGCATTGCCAGCCCCACCAATATACCCTGGAAAGGCCACCTGTACTCCCCCAAAGGCTCCTGATGAAGGGCACAAGAGTGCTACATTGTTCAGATTAAGAAAACACACTTGTCTAAGAACTGAATGGAAACAACTCCTGTCACATGCAGCCACTCCCCAAAGAGCCATCAGCTGGCAATGACTTTCTCACTGCTGCCTATGAGAGTTAGGCAGAACTCTCAAAGGCACCCAAGGCATTAGGTGTTCAGTTCTCATTGACTTTCTGTGGGATTGCCCAAGGAGCCAAACTTTGGTTGTTACTTTGCCAATAGAACGACCTGAGCGGCCTCGTGACCTGGAGCTGACAGACCTGGCGGAAAGGAGTGTGCGCTTGACATGGATACCCGGTGATGACAATAACAGCCCGATCACAGGTTGGTGCTCACCCCTCCCCTCTGTAACACCAGACCAGGCTGTATTCATCAAGCTATTGTTTTCGTTAACAAAAGTCTGTCTTCCTCTGGGAGTTGGGAGAAACCCTGCCATTAACCTGACCTCCCACCTCTCTCCTGTCTAGATTACGTGGTTCAGTTTGAAGAGGACAAGTTCCAACCTGGGTTGTGGCATAACCATTCCCGTTACCCAGGGAGCGTGAACTCAGCTGTTCTGCGCCTCTCGCCCTATGTCAACTACCAGTTCCGAGTGATAGCTGTGAACGAAGTGGGGAGCAGCCTGCCCAGCCTTCCCTCTGAACGATACCATACTATTGGGGCAAGTAAGTACTTGGAGTCAAGTTCCAAATAACTCACTGTTGGGACTTTGTTCTCCGAATGGCTTTCATCTGTCATGTCAGAACTCAGACACTAGGCGAGGGTTGGCTAGAGTTTCTATTACAAGCCTATTTTCCATGGGTGTTGAACTCACAGGGCCTGGTACACATAAAGCCAGAGTAATGTGACTGAGAGCAGAACTTGGTCCATGTACTAATAGGTTGGGATGAATCTTGAAGTATTTGGTTAAACCCTGTGCACAGTGGCAAAATTCAAGATGAAAGAGCTAATGTGGGTAATTTTTCCAGTGTAAGCCGCTTAGAGGGGGGTATTCCTCAAACAAATCAATCTTTCCATGATGCTGCAACTACAGAGGAGGAAAATCCTTCATCCCCTCCTCCTGCAGGAAGCTTAGAAGCGTATTTGAAAGTTTGACACTAGGGCTGTTTTCTCTGCAGCTGGCAGTATCCTCCCCCAGCCCAGGTAGACAAGCACATGCTAGGTCCTCTCAAGAGAGCACACTGAAAAATAAGCAGTGTGGACCCTGCAGAATGGGCTGACCAGGGAGGCATGCTCCCAGGAACAGTGTAGATATACCCTCAAGGATCTATTATTGTAAGCTGCCAACTCCCTCCACTATTCCCAAGTATTGGCAGAGATCCCAGAACAGGCTGGGTGTGCAATGCAGGTCAGTACAGCTCATTTTTGAGTGCCGTGTGTGTGTGTGTGTGTGTGTGTGTGTGTGTGTGTGTGTTCAGTGCTGCAGAGAAAAAAAAATCATTTCTAGTACAAGGTACTTATGAACCTAAATCTCTGGGTTTTGGGAGTGTTAAGCAAAATGGAGTGCCCACAAAATATGGCTTCCTTCTAATAGCTGCTTGGGACCTGCTCTTTTCAATTACATCCCTCAGCTTCTGATTCACAGATGTCATTGATTACTCTTGTTCAGATTTACTTCACTTAACACAGAAGGCACCTTCTAAATGTATAGGACTAGACATTTGAAAACAACCAAAATACGTGGCCTAACTTTGAAAAGTGCTGAGAAACCTGCAGCTTTCCACTTTCCATTGACCTGAATGGAGGGCAACTCATTTGTTGTTTTCAATTATCTTTTAATAACCAGTTTGCTCTGTGCATGGCTTTTAAATGCCTACATTTTCAACAGTGTAAGGCAAGGTTTTTATGTGGATTTCAGGTCCAGAAATCAACCCAACAGGAGTTCAAGGAGCAGGGACTCAGAAAAACAACATGGAGATAACTTGGACAGTGAGTTTAATTTTTTTACTACCCCATAGCTGAAGGTGCCAGGGTCTGTAAAGCCAGATCTAAAAAACATTTTATTTCAATGGGCTTCGTTAAAACTTTCAACTTCTGGCTACTTTTAAGTCAAGATGATCTGCTTATTCTTTCTCTTTAACCACCAAGGGCTATTACCATTCAGAATAGTTAGTGAGGAAGTGTCACATGAATGCTAGGATTACTCTGTGCTTCAGCCCTTTTAAGGTGAGCATATTTAAATCACACCTCATGGACTCCCCCTTACATTCTAGGTAGCTGCCAGAATAAATCAATTCTCATGCAATTGTGATTGGTGTTTATTTTAATAGCCCCCAGAAAGACATTCCAAAGAGCTTACTCATTTTAAGACAGGAGTCTAAGGTGAAGGTTACACAAATACAAGCATGTGATTATTCAGTTCAGAAACAGTGACTATTTTTTTTTAAACTCCATTGTTGACTCACTCCTTGCAGGCACAAGTGATAGACAGTGACTTCTTCATCCATATAGTGAATGAGGACTACTTTAGTCTTCCTGCAGAAGCCTGCTCATACAGTGTACTCAAGTGTTAGCATTAGGGATGAGGTTGGTCTCCAAGATCTGTTCACAGGAGTGGAAGCAAAAGAAAAGTTGTTAGATTACACCTGATCCTCTAGGCAAGAGAAGGGCAGTTCCTTAACACTGCTTCCAATTATTCTTTCTGATCTTGTTCATTAAGAGTGACACTTGAAGGCAAAATGTCACTCTTAAATTTTCCAGGGTACACAAAAAATTACTGTGGCTTGGTTCTTGAAGGAAGCCTGAGAGGAGGATAATTATATAGAAGGTTTCAGAGGACAGACTTTCATTCCTGAAGCAGCTGTACGTCCTGCCTGGACCTACACAGCTGTCACCAGGAATTAAGCCAAAGTCTGGTGTGGGGAAGGGATAAATTGCAACTTTTTATTCATGCCTGTATTATGCAGTGTAAATATACATAACACCTTATTTATCTTTTTGTCCATTAAGCCACTGAATGCGACTCAAGCTTATGGGCCCAACCTCAGGTACATAGTGAAGTGGAGGCAAAGGGAATCGCGGGAGAGCTGGAGCAATGAGACAGTGAGAACCACAAGGCATGTTGTCTGGAATACACCCATCTATGTGCCCTATGAGATCAAAGTGCAAGCAGAGAACGACTTCGGGAGAGCTCCAGAGCCTGACATTATCATCGGCTACTCAGGGGAAGATTGTGAGTATTTTCCTACCCAGAGCTATTAAGTATTACTGGGTGGGGGGGGGAAGAGAAAAGTGAAAGTTGTCAAGCTACCCTCTCCTACTGGAGATGGAAAAGCTACACTGCAGCTCAGGGGGACACCCTTAGAGCCATACTTGGTGTCACAGCAATCCAGTTCCTGGTGACTGGAGGAGGAGGCGGGGATGATGACTCTTCAGGTTCCATTCCTAGCTCCGGCACCAAAATATCTGTGCAAGCCCCAAGCCAAATTACTTATATTCCAGTTTGCACAAATGGAGGTCATCACTTCTGAGAGCGATGTGGGCAAGGAGGTTTGAGTTGGGGTATTTTGGCCCTTGGATGAAAGGTACAGCTGGGCAAAGTACTGTGTTGAACTTAGAGGTGTGATTGCAGCTCTGGTAGGCTTTACCCAGGTTTCTGAGAGGACTTGTGCAGCCACATCTGTATTTAGTCACACTAGCAAGATTAGAGCTAGTATGGGTGCCTACCTGAGCTGCAAGTAACTCCTCCCCTCTGCTCTGAGGGAAGCATAGTTTAATTACATGATAATCTTGCATGCTGGTCAGAGGGAAATCCTGGATTAGATTGCTGTACAATGGCTTTAGAGAATTAAATATCCACTATAGCTACTTGTATGTTTATCTCCTAGTCCTTTCCTCTGGGCTACTGGTTTCATTGCCTGCAACAGATAGGGGCTCTGAACTGTAACATTATTATAGGGTTTATTTTTTAAAGAGAAAGTATTTTAGTTCCATCTCCACTGCACCACATGACTGGGAGTCTTGGCTTGAACTCCTGCTGGGATTGTTGTTAGGGCTATGGGCTCAGAACTTCTGAAAAGGAACCCCATAAGAGGTCACCTGGAATAGCACAAGGACCACCTCTCACTGACTAGATGAGCTCAGAGCACAAAATATGGGTACTACTACTACCACGAAAGGGAAAATAAATAACTCAAAATCCTACTGGCCCTGGGTCTGCCTCTTGAAGCTTGTGGCTAAGAGAGCAGGGGATAGATAAAGAACTTAAAAAGAATACAGCTTAGATTGTGTTACACACACATTACGGCAGTGCTGTGATGCTACACAGTTGACAGCTTTCAATGCCTTAAGGTATTTCTCTCAGTTTAAAGTAGAGATTGGGGACTGTGCATTTAGGTTCCACAGGGACCCAAATACACCTGAACGTGTGTCTTGCTGGAGCTAAACTAAAGTGAGATTTGGCCTTGAAGAGAATTCTCCAGTTCTTGGAAACAGATCTCACATTATTTAGCTCCCTAAATGACTGGGATAATTATAAAAAGATGGGAAACAATCTAAGTATGAACACTAGATCCTGAACATGCCCCTAGTGAATAGAACGTGCAATGGGCTAAACTACTGGATAGGTTTGTTCCAATCGTTTCCCCTCTAAAGATGCTAACCTTAGAAGTGCTTTTACTTCACTCCCAAGCCTCCCTGATAACAGTATATTTACCTTCAGCTTATTGTTGTTCTGTGTGATTCAGAGTGGCCAACATCTGCTTTTGACCTAGGATGAAAGACAAAAAACCGAACAGTTATCCTGAACATTCTTGGGGGTTAATCCGTGGATAAGCTGGGCAACATCTTCGTGGGCTAGTGTGGCCTTAGTTTTTCCAAAGGCTTCTAAGGCACATAGCTGGGGCTGCTTTAACAGTAGCAAATTAAATTTGGGGTTTTGTGGCCATGCTGCTGAAAGACTTTTGTATAGCTTAGCCCTTGCAGGGTTAGCTCTGTATACCCGGCAACCATTAGAGGCCATCAGAGTTTAGTTGCATCACTCCCTGGGTGAGCACACTAGAAAGCGCTGATTCCCCTGGTATTGTGTAACTAAACGGTGGTGCAGAAGAGTTTCCTCTGACCCAACTACCCTGTGCTAAGTACCATTTATAATGTTACTTTGTTCCACAGGCTTTTTGACTGACATGCTGCAGTGCCAATCAATATTAGAGCTGTGCAAACTCTGCACGTAGGATCTGCAAGCTAGATCCTCAGGCACTTAACCCATTGCTAGAAGCGAATGAGTCACAGCATGGTTGCTTAGAGGCATCTTCAACCAATTCAAACCTCCAAGGGACCATATCACTCCCTCACTGGGATAGGCCTTCAGAATCTCTACTTACCTTAGGGGTTTTCAGGGACGTATTAGACATTCACACATTTTCCATTTCCTCTCCTACTGCAAAGTGCACTAGTGAAAAATGTTTCTAGAGGGGGGGGAAATCCTATTGGCCTTTAAGGGCTGCTCTGTCCTTGGTCCTGAAATGAACAGACTATCTTGTCTAAAGCTTCACATAACTGAATTCCTATTGCAAAAGTCTTTAACCAGCGGTTTCTTTCTGGCAAACTAAACTTGGCTCTTGCTTTGTTGGAGTGGCATCTGTAGTTCAGGGATTGCTTTACTGTGAGTTATGTATCGTCTTTCATTGTTTTACAATGTCTTATTGCCTGGTTTCCCTTTCTCCCCCCCCCCCATAAACTGGTTGTTTTGGAGAGCAGTTTCTGCCACAAGATACAGTACATTTTTCCAGTGTTTGCAACAAGCTCTCCTGTTCTAGTGATTTTTGTAAACTTTTGACGTTTGCATGTTAAATACATAACCTATTAGATTAAGGCTAGATGACCATAATGATCTTTTGTATTTTGATCTCTGGCATGGAAACTTGCCCAGTGACTCCTGCATCTAGCCCTAATTTATTACAAACTTTCTTCCTCCAATAATTTCCAGCAGAGACTAGTGATTGGGGGTGCCTCACTTAACACCTTTAAAAGAACCTGATTTTCAGAGGATAGGTGTGCTCCATCCTTTCTGAATCTCATCTCTTCTAGATCCAATAAGACATCACTAATCACTTTTGAAAATCTTTGCTAGGGATGTCCTTTGTGATTCTCCAATGCGTGGGTGCAGTAGCTTCAAATGAGTATTCCAGAAGAGATCAGAAGTTCTTGTACAAGCTACAGTGAAACCAAAGCAAGTGCCCTTCCCCATTAGAAAGATAGTCTGTACAGGTTGTTCACTCAGATCTACTGCAGGCTCTAGCCATTCTTTATCACCACATGAAAGCAAAGGGTTGTGGTGGCAGTTGTCCCTTCCCCTCTGGGTCCTAGCAAGGCTGGATTACTGCCTCATATCAGGGGAATTAGTGAATCAGGTGCTAGCCCCTGACCCTCTTGGCAGGGAAGAGCACCCAGCAGCCTGTTGTCCTAGCTCTGGCAGACAGACAAATGTAGGCCTCTTGGCCTATGGTGGAGGCTGCCACCCCAGGCCCATCCTACTCCACCAGGTCCCTGCCCAGGGCCCTAACAGTGGAGGAGTGTCCACCACTAGGTTAGTGGAGATCTGCCCAAAACACCCTGGCCTGGATTCAGGCAAACCCAACCCAAAACCAGTCTAGTGTCTATAGGCTACTTCCCCTTTGGTTCCTCAGCTCACTGGGTGTCCTCCGTCTCCCTGGGCTAGACAGCCAGCAGCTCCTCTGTCTCCTCGGGGGTCAGCAGTGAAGTCAGAGGCCTAGCAGCAAGCAAGCTACATCTGTCTCCTTCCCAAGCTCAGTTCCAACTGAGCCGGAGGCTCTACCTTTTATACTTCCTGTGGGAGGAATGAGCCAGGCCTGACTCCACCCACCCAGGCACAGGGTTCCTCCCCGTCTGGGTCAGAGGAAGTCCACATGGCCACGCTACATTTTAGTACATGAAGCGAGTGCTGCAGGAGGCAGCTAAGTTTCTGGCAGACTGTCACAGTCCTAACCGTTAATTGGAGCAGAGAAGTGTGACAGATCGCTTGCTCCTCAAAGTTGCTAATCCATTGTAGAGGCCTGAGAGAAGTGCTGATGTTAAATGGATCAGGAGCGACCGCACAGCAATACCAAGAATGGCTGACAAATTGTAACACATTTCTTTCCCTCCTGGGAAGGCACTGCCAGGAGCAACCCATGTATCCCATAGATTCAGAACCTGCCTGGTCAGAAAATCTCAGGTATATCAGATTAGCCTAGATGGTGAAGAGGACAATCACAGTTAAGGACACTGTGCCAGATCCTCTGCTGATGTAAATCAGCATAACTTTATAGACTTCACTGGAGTTCCAATTGACACCAGCTGAGAAGCTGGATTCCTATTCATTTGCAGTGCTCTATCATGCAAGTCAACTTGCACCTCATTCTGTTGGTTTCTGAATAGAGCACACAATTTAGACAGACATGCTTCCAAGCTGTGCTACAGCAGTAGCTGCATTCAAGACAAAGGAGCGGAGAGGGCTAGCCAGTTTAAAAACATATGCAAGCATATGTCTGAAAGATGGAGCCAGCTACAGTGTGGCTGCATCAGTGTTTACTGGGTAATTGCTAAATGGTCAACATGTTGCACTACAGCTGGATGCACTGACCCAATGTTGCTGCTTCCAAACTGCATAGTCCTGTTGGATTGTGGACACACTGGATCGGCTCCTCAGCTGGTGTGTAAATCTGAATAGCTCCATTGGCTTCAGTGAAGCAATACCAGATTACACCAGCTGAGAATCTGGGCCATGGTGTTTCATCATGGCTGAACATGAGCTATTGCCCTTTTCAAAATCTAAAACTCCTAAAATTAGCAAGTTCTTGTTAAACAAGGAGGTAATTCCTGTATCTGGTCAAAAAAAAGAATACTAGCACATCATGGGAAACATTTTTAAGCCATTCTCTTTAGAAAGTTGGCTGTACTGACCAATGGGTAGAGCAGAAGTCTCTGAACAGAGTTTCTTGGACTGGATTCCCAACTCTGCCACTGACTGTGGGGGGGGGGGGGGTGCGCGCGCGCGCCTGAAGTGGATTTTGACCTCTGTGCCTTGGATATGTAATACTTCACATATCACAGCTCCCTGCTAGTGTAGGAAAATACTTTGAGATCTTCAGATGAAAGGTGTTAGGGAGGTAAATATGTTCTGGATATTGCTTCTCCAATTTCATTATCTGGGACCCACATTCATCCCTTGAGTAAATAAGTAGTTTATCCAAGAACTCTGGAATTGACTGGCTCCTGCTCTTTTGTTGCATCAGCTGTGGAAATCCTTGAAGTGTGACAAGCTTGTGACTTGTGAGATCCTGTCTTCCTGCAAATATTCTAACGTATAGACAGAACTGCTCCTGAATGCCACAAGGTGGCAGCAGGGGCTTTTGAGAGTCTGATATTTACCCCAGGACGACTATAGAATGAAAAACAAAATGCCCCAAAAACCTGCCTAGCAGGAATCGCAAGAGATAAACTTCAGAAAAAAATGGGGTGTAGACTACTGTTGGAATTAAAAACAAACAACCCAATGTGTGCCTAATCTACACTTTGCTTTATTCCTGAATGCTTAGATCCCAAGGCTCCCCCCACTGATATTAGGCTAAAAGTTATAAACAGCACGGCAGTCAGTCTCCAATGGAGCCGAGTATACCCGGATACCATCCAGGGACAACTTAAGGAATACAGAGTGAGCAAAACCAAATCGTTTGGATATTGACTATTAATACAGCTAACTTTGCTCACAAAGGGTGACCTGGAAACATGGCCAGTGTGCAGTGGGGATGACACAAAACAGTAAGTTGGGCCTAATAATCTTGGGTGCCATCATTCTGTGGGCACATTAGTGATCATGCCTCGCCGTTCTGGAACAGCACCTGTGTGTTGAAGACTAAAACACCCAGGCTCACTTTTGTTTAATGACTGGAAAACAAGATCTACGGAAATCTTGTTTGCAGGGGCTGATTTAGAGCCAGATTCTGCTCCCATTGAAGTTCAATGGCAAAACTCAGGACTTGAATGAGAGTAGGATTGGGCCTTCTAATGAGACTTAGTCCTGCCTCTGCAAACATGCACAGCCTAATATGTGCTACTGATTGGAGTCTTTGCTCTTACAGTCAGAAAAGAGTCTGTTTGATGCCCACATCACTGAGCCCCGTACTAGGGTTCAAGGACTACATGGGCCATATAAACAGCACTACCTTCCCCCACCCCAAAGGTTGCCTCTGCTAAGTAAGGTTGAGGCATTGCTGCTGCTTGTATTCTACCTAATTAAGACAACTCCTGTCTCTAGAACTGTTAAATTCCATCCTTTCATCATTATGCAACGTGCATGGTTTTCATGGGAGAAGGGGGAGGAGAAAGAACCCTCTGATACCCACACACTGATTTTTGTGTCATCCCTAATGTACAAACAGTCTTAATAAATGCTATCTGGATTTGCCCCGGTCAAGATCTAAAACAAAACCATACTAACTGAAAGCTAAAAGTATAGAGCTAAATATACTGTATACTCATTGCAACAACTGTTCTTTATCAAATGTATGCACTGCTAATAATCTCACATGTGCCAGCTGGAGTGCCTGATCACAACAAGCAAAAGTCTGGACTTAAGCAAAAATCTGATAGAAAGAGCTTTTGAGACTTTAGCAATCTATGTTGGTGGCATATTCTGTACATGTTCATACTTTTCAAATCCAAGAATTCAGTATTCATAGAAAATTCTTTGAATTCTGCCTTTGTTTTCATTACTCTTGTGCACCATTGTATATCTATTTTCTATCTCAAAAAAAAATCTATATTTGTAGGGATTTGAATCAGCACCTTTTCAAGTTCAGACTTTTAATTGTGCCTGAACATATTAAGCCTCTTCCTTTCTTTATAGTTAAAATTTACCAATTCATCTGGAGGGGTAATGCTCTCTGCCTAGAGCCGAGGACTGGGAACCAGAACTGTTGGGTTCCATCCTGATCTCTGCAGCTGACTCACTCTGTGACCTTGGGCAAATCACTTAGCCTGACCGTTCGTCAGTTTCTGCATCTGTAAAACGGAGATAATATTACTGACCTACTTCCTGGGCAGTTATGAGGCTTAATTAATTGTTCTAAAGCACTTTGAGAGGCAAAGAATTGTTATGCTTTATTAATGAAAACCAATTGTACCTGAATGGGAAAAGCTTCACTTGCCCTACATATTTCTTGAAGGCCTATTTCTGGAGAGAAAGTAGTTTGCTGAAGAACCTGTGGGTCTCCAAAAAAAGGCAGTCTGTGGGTTTTGTTGGAGACCGACCAAGGGGCATAGTGTCCCGGCTGTTTCCTTACAGCAACTACAAACTGGAGATGGTTGTAGTCAACGGGAGAGGAGATGGGCCTCGGAGTGAAATTAAGGAGTTCACAACACCTGAAGGAGGTAGGTTCTTCTGGAATTTTCGCAGGCATACGCTGTTATATGCTTTGTGCACATGCTGGGAAAAACTCTGCTCCACAGTACAGACCTAGAGCCTTAAAATTCCTCCTGCCCTGTATGGAAATTCCATAGAATGACACCGATCCTGTTTAAAAATGAACAGAACCACCTATCCTGTGCAGGAAAGGTGCAGCTCTAAGGCTCCAAAGCTGTCTCTCTGCATTTCTCTGCCTGGAGCACAGGTATGTACATCTTGCTGTAGCTCCTAATGGCAGAGGTACCCATAGAATCATAGGGTTAGAAGGGACCGTAAGGGTCATCTAGTCTAACCCCCTGCCAAGATGCGGGATTTGTTGTGTCTAAACCATCTGAGACAGATGGCTCCAGCCTCCTTTTGGAAACCTACAGTGAAGCAGCTTCCACAAGCTCCCAAGGCCTCAGTTCCATTGTCCTGCTGTTCTTTATAGTTAGGAAGTTCTCCTCCGATTTAATCTAAATCCACTACACTGTAATTTGAAGCCATTGTCTCCTCCTGTGGCAAAACAACTTTTCTCCATTTTTTTGTAGCAGCCTTTCAAGTATTTGAAGACCACTATCATGTCCCCTCTTAGTCGCCTCTTTTCCAAACTAAAGAGACCCAGTTCCTTCAAGCTTTGCTCATATGACTGCATTCTATCCCTTTGATCGTCTGTGTCACTCATTTCTGGATCCTTTCCAGTTTCTCTACATCCTTTTTATACATTGGTGACAAAAACTGGACACCGTACTCCAGCTGAGGCCTACCCAGGGCTGCGCAGTACTACCACCTCCCATGACTTGCATGCTATGCCTCTGTTAATTCAATCTAAAAACTTTATATTTTTTTTGCAACAGCAGCACAATGCTGACTCATGTTGAGGTTGTGATCCACCACAACTCACCAATCCTTGCCAGCAGTACTGCTGAAAAGACAATTACCACCTATTCTATATTTGTGCTTTTGTTTTTTCTTCCCTAAGTGTAGCACCTTACATTTATCTTCACTGAATTGCATTTTGTTGTTTATAGCCCAATTCTCCAATGTATCAAGATCCCTTTGAATTTTAGCTCTGTCCTCCAGAGTGTTGACATCCCCCATAAGCTTTGCATCATCTGCAAGTCTGATCAGTATGCTCTCTATTCCTACATCCAGGTTATTTATAAATGTTAAACACCCAACCCAGACCAGATCTCCATGGAATCCCTCTTGAGACTTCCCTCCAGTCTGACATCATTCCTTTAATAGTTACTCATCTGTATGATGAGTTATTCCAGAATAGCTGTTCCTGATTAACACCAGGCATGGATGCTCTTATCCCAGAGTAACTGTATATTACTCCTAATTAGTTAATCCATTTCCAGAGTGGATTAAAACTAGTTCAGAATAAGAGCATCCACCCATGGCGTTAATCCGAAATAGATGATCCACATTAAATTTACATCCTACCTGAGTCTGAATGAACTTCTATGTGTAGACAAGCCCTTAGTTCTTTTTATCTGTAAATTCAAGACAACTTTTCTAAGGACTTTAGTGCCTGGGAGGAGAGGTGCTGGGCTGACTTCCCTGGAGACTGAAATGCTCTATTTATCCCCACACAGGTATGTGCTGCACCATACAAGTGTCCCAACTCTGATTGGGAAGGACCATCCCCAGTAGGGGAGATAGTAGTTTAGTCTCCATGTGATTTGATTCTTGGCTTCTCTTTCAAGGTTGCCTACAAAGGGATCAGTTAGTACCAGTTGTGGTGAGATTAAGGATGGGGACACCATCACAGCTGGACTGAAACCCAGCAAGTTTATTTTGCACAAACCTGAGCAGGATTTGAACAGAGACTAGCCCCGTTTCTCTCATAAAAGGAAGCTGTACAGGGCCAAAGGGCTGGCACGCTCCACCATGGGAGCTGTGACTGTTCGCAAAGGGGGTTGTCTGTCCCAGTGCTATATTTTGCCCTCAGGAGTGGCAAGGAAGGGGGCCAAGATTTTGAGATACTGACGTTTCCAAAGGCCAGCAGCACTGAGTCAAAGTACAAGAACACCCCAAAAAGGATGAAAAATAGGCCAAAGCCCACAAGACCCATGCCACTCTCTGCAACAGATGGAGGGTTAGTGATTAGAAGTGCAGCAGCCAGAGGAACAATGTAGTTACTACAAAGGAAGTGTTGGATGGTGCCAGCTTAGGTCACCAAATCCTCCCCTGTGGCAGATTATCCCAAGACTGATGGTTCACGCAGTAGTTAGATTCACCAACCAGTCACAAACTGTGCTCCTGATCTCTCCCCTCCCCCCCACTGGTTATCAAGAGGCTAAAAAAATTACTCCCACCAGCAAATTGGTCCAGCAAAGTGAGAAGTTCACTTAAAACTCACTATGTTCTTCTGATCCCCAAGTGGCCAGACACGTTACCAGATCAATACTAGTTTGGATCTTACCCAAAATACCACACTGCCAGCCAGTCCTTTAGTATCTAAAGCTAAAGGTTTATTATAAAAGAAAGGGAAGGACCAGGGTTGTTAAATGGTCAAAGCAATCAGATACATACATATGACTTCAGAGTCCATATATCAGGTTCTTAGCAGTATTGGTGAGTTTGCTGGCTTGTAAAGTCCCCCTGAAACACATCCAAAGTTTGGATGGGTCTATCAGTCCTTTGTTCAAAGCTTCACTTTATAGAGAAGTTACTGCAGAGATGAGAAGCAGGATTGAAAACAAAATAGAGACAATGCAGCTACCTTTTTATAGCCTTTGCTATGTGGCTTGTATATCCTCTGTCCCAAACACAAGCTCACAGTACACGGACACAAAAGCACGGGAGTCCCCTGTCCACAGGCATGGCCCTAGTACAGGTCCTGCTGACTCATAGGCATAGCCCCTGCCTTCTCTCAATGGCTTCATTGTATAGCTGATAGGCAATTAAGCAGGCTAGTTAGTGCTGATGCTAATCTGTCTGGGAGTGTCACCCAGATACAGCACAAGTTTCAGATACAGATATCACATATTAACTCACAATACAAAGATGACATATATATGTGAACAAGATCATACTTAGCAAATTACAACTTTTCCATTGATACTTTCCATGGCATATCTTGTAAGATTCATTGCAATGGGTAATATTGGTATTAATTTATAAATGGTCACCTATATTCCATAAAGGTTAAGGGCACACCTGTCTCTCTCTGTGGGTATCTAAGGAGGGAGAAGGAGACAGTCTGAAAAACCACCTGGAAAATGATTTCCTGAAAACCTGTGAAGTGGTTTCCATGTGGCAGGGGTCACCTCCTAATCCCCTCCCTCTTCAAAATGGAGCTGAACCAAAGCTCTGGACTCACTAAGTCTTCCCATTGCCTTGAATGGGCTTTGGGTCAGGCCCAGGACTCTCCAACTTATCTATCAGCCAAACAGCAGCCAAGGATGGGATGTCGTAGGGGTTTAGAGCAACGAGAAGCTAGTCTGAAAACCCAGAACACATCTGCAAACTTTGTGTATATCAGGGCATGAGTTACTGTCTTTTGCAGGGAGATTTGGCGCTTACTAACAGTGCTCAGAGAGGAGCAGGCAAGCAGTCAGCAAACCTCCCACATACCCAGCTCTGCCAATGGCCCTCACCCATAACCCCCCTCTGCTATTCCAGTCCGGCGCTCCCCACACATACCCCCAGCTGTGCCAATGCTCCATAGTCCTGACCTACAGCCCCCCTCTGCTATTCCAGTCCTGAGCTCCCCACACACCCCCCAGCTGTGCCAATGCCCCATAGTCCTGCCCTACAGCCCCCCTCTGCTATTCCAGTCCTGAGCTCCCCACACACCCCCCAGCTGTGCCAATGCCCCATAGTCCTGACCTACAGCCCCTCTCTGCTATTCCAGTCCTGAGCTCCTCCCACACCCCCCAGCTGTGCCAATGCCCCATAGTCCTGACCCACAGCCCCCCCTCTGCTATTCCAGTCCTGAGCTCCCCACACACCCCCAGCTGTGCCAATGCTCCATAGTCCTGACCCACAGCCCCCTCTCTGCTATTCCAGTCCTGAGCTCCCCCGGCCAGCTCTGCCAGTGGATCTCCATCCTGACCCACAGCCCACTGCTATGCCAGTCCTGGGCTCCCCCACTCCAACCTCAAGAACTGCCAGCTCACCCTTGACTTATATTCCCTCACCTTGGCGTTGTAGACCCAGACCTCATCTGAGCAGACACCGCCAGTTGTGGTGAGTTAGGAGTTCTGCAGAGCTGTGAAATGCATGTTTCTGTGGTGTTAAAAACCCATTGGGTTTTGCATGGACAGTACCAGACTCAGGGCCAGGACAGTAGTTCGCTCTGCCTCTGACAGACACTCCCTGATCTGCTGTGACTGGTGCTGTGACTGGTGCAACCTCCAGCTCCAGCCCAGACTTGGCTCTGAGCACCAGTGGTTGCAGCTTTGCACACCAGATGGAGAAGGAAAGCCAGCATCTTGAAGCTTTTCCACTTCAATTAATTACCAGTTGGGCCAGTAAAAGGCTCTGAAGTGCACTATGGACTGGAGGTTAGGCTGCTGCCCTTGAGGGGAGACCCTGCTTCACCTCTTCCCTCTGCCTGTTAAGAACAGGTTTGAAGAGGGAGCTTCTTTCCTCTGGAAGCTGTTCCACTCTAACTATTAATTGAGCCAAAACAAGACTGATTTGCAAGAAGCCTTCTATAGCCAGCCCTAGGGGTTAGGGTACTTACCTGAGATGCTGGTTTAACCCCCCCTGTACTGGAGGAGAAGAAAGGACTTGAGCAGCAAGATTTTTTCTGTGCTGGTTTCACAGAGGGGACCTAGTAGGGAAGGGTACCCCCCTTCACAGCTGGGCCTTTTAAAGTTATTGCCCCTGCTGGGGTGTTAATG